AACCCTGAACCATGGCCGATCTGATCTGGACTCAGAAAGGGGCAAACAAGCTTCGAGTTCTCAAGGTCTAGCTGTTGCTTTTGTTGTTGGTTTTAAGCCCCTCTTTGGCGTCTGCTAGCCTTAGGGCTTAGGCTTCAAGGTTTGGGGCTTAGGGTTTAGGGTTCAAGGTTTGGGGTTTAGAGTTCAAGGTTTAGGGCTTAGGGTTCAAGCTTAGGGGTTCAAGGCTTCAGGCTTAGGCGCTAGGGGTTAGGAAGACGGGTCCTACTACGAAACTGAAAAAGGCTTCGGATATACCTCAGTGAGCCTCAGTGTGTTGTTAGCAATTGTAGTTGCGGCTGCCTTGCGCATCGATCCTCAACTCCAACAGCCATGGGATAACCGCCAGTACCCAAACAACACCTTCTAAAGCCTCGAGTAGCCTTAGAAGAAACCCCAACTAAATACATAAAAACACACCATCTCTGATTAATCCAGAAACCCGACGGTTGCGCCTGGGATTGGATCGCCGCCTGCGCCTGAGCAGTCTTGCATATGTATACACGCATATGTATATATATATATATACATGTATATATATATATATATATATGCATATATAGTTATATATATATATATATGTGTAAAGTTAAAAATATATAGATCGTGTGTGTGTGTGTGTGTGTGTCTGTGTCTGTGTGTGTGTGTGCGCGCGCGCGCGCGCGCGTGTGTGTGTGTGTGTGTCTGTGTCTGTGTCTCTGTGTNNNTGTGTGTGTGTTTGCGTCTGTGTCTTTGTCTTTTTTTGATCTTGTCTGAATTGAGTTGGAAGATCTCAAGCTGCTTAGCCGCCCTGTCCAGAATCTGGAGTTGAAGGTTTATGGTTCTTGTCAGGCTTGTTCGGTTCTGTACTGCCGGATTGTCGGTGTCATGCTGCAGGGCTCATAAAGTCGGATCGTTCCTTTGGGCCTGGGCGCACTTGGCACCTTGGCGTTGTTTGTGGCAGACAGGAACCTGACAATGACTTCTTCAGGCAGGTTTCGGGATTTAGGGCTATAGAAGAGTTTTGGGCTTTGACGGGTAGGGGGTTTCGGGTCTATGTGCTCCCCGAATATATATATATATATATATATATATATGTATATACATACATACATAAATA